ATGCAGGAAGACCCGCACTCTTATTCCCAAGCTACTGCTCCTAGTGTTGCTGAGTCCTGGCTCTTAAGCTTCTGGGTACACCTGACATGGCCCAAGTCACATTGCTGTGTTGACTTTCCATCCTTCCTCCATCTACTCATCTTGTTTCCTACGTGACCTTTTGGAATAAGGGCATGAACAAACATGACTCTTCGTCTCACAGCTGACTTGAGGTTGCCCACTTTATTAGACTATGAATTTCCTTATTAATGCCTGACTCTCAATAGGCAGGTTACTATTCATTAATCTGTGACTGGAATAAAAAATTGCAGGTATTTGAAAAGAATATTTAACTGGTACTTTTTAAAAAAGTAGAACTTCATTCTCTGCACACCAAATAGAGAGTTTAAGTGACATAAGAAAAGCTGTGTACTTGTGCAAGTCTAGTATAATGTTCAGCTGGGTTTCAGTACCAACCAGAAAGAGATATTTGAATTAAGTCTCTGAATGCTAAGCTAAAGAATTCGAAATATACAGAAGGCTTGCTGAGATTTGCTTTTCTAATGCTTTTATCACTTGGGTATGCTGTGGCTAAATGCAGCCAACTCTTACTTATCTGAATATTTTAAAATGAAAAATGCTCTATCAAAGACCTTTGAATCATCCTTTCTCTTTTTGGGCCTGCCTTTTAGCCAGATCTTTGATTCTTAGCACAAAGAGAGGGGGAGAGAGGAATGAAGATAAAACTAAAACTCAGTTGCTTCATTCTTAGTCTTGTCATAGGCAAAGAGATCGATATAAATTTATTAAAATCAAAATTAAATTGTCTTTAGCTAAAGGCTGTGTTAAAACATTGGCAAAGAGTTGAGTAATTTAATTTTAAAATAAGTTATAAAGATTAAGGCAGTACAGAGTGCATTTCTGAATATAAAATGAACAACATTCAGAATTAGCTTTCAGAAAAAAGATAACATGATAAAATATTACCATAATATGTTAACCAATGTCTAAAGCATTCTTTCCTTTGAACTTTGAAGTACAAATGAATGTAATTGGAGTTATGAAACACATATGAGTTATATTTATTCAGAATATCTTTTTCACCTGCTTAGCCCTCTAAATCTCTATCATAAACACCATAAAATATATGTGTGATAGATTCAGAGAGACTTACAACTATTTCTCACTTGCCTTCATGTTAAGGGAAATGGAGAACTTTTGCTGCCAGAACTTAAAATTATGATGTGCCCACATGAAAAAGGCCCCAATTAACCTGCATATATCTGCCAAATTGGTTATTTATGGCATTTCTGTCCCCATGATTGCCTCTCTAACACTCTTTAAAAGTGAAGCGATTGTTTAATTAGGGATTAATTGTTTCCTACTGTGAATTATTCACACATAATAAAATTTTTATCAATACATGATGTATCTAACCATATGCACTAGGGCTAAAAGATGACTGGGTTAAGTGGAAAGATTGATTTGAGTAGGAGACAGCACTGAAGACAAATTCTGCCCTTCATTTCCTACTTACTTTTTGTTTTAAAAAAAGCCAATATATGTATATATAATTTTTTTAAGTTTCCAGTGCCTGGAAAAATACTCATAAAGGTATCATTTTAGTATTTATTGCTTTCTAAGAAACATTTTGCTGTGATGAAAGCAAAAAATAAATACCCAGTGACAATGACACCCTATCTGTCATCTCATTTCATCTATGCAAAATTGATGTTGAGACACAATGGAGCCACCATTTGCCATTTAAATTCATTCTGGAATCTGATATGCACCAATTCTAAGAAAAACATGGAGAAAATCGTCCACTTATAAGGAAATAAAATTCGTATTTCAGTTTGGCCACAAATACCAGCACTTGGACCTGTGAAAGGGGTACTGCAGACTTGCATACTGTAAGTGGATCCTGGTTGTTATCCTATCAAATATGGCAGCTCTTTACTGTGTAGCAACCATGCACCACTCAACTTTTGCTGGGTTCTGGTAAGCTACAGAGATGAAGATAAGTTTTTCCTCTCAATATACCAGTAGTCTAATGTGATTTTTTTTCTAAATTATTTTGATTTTAGGTAGATTGATCATTGAATTCATTAACTAGCTTTTAAGCCCTTATTTCTGTTGCGTGCATTCTCTCACCTTACATGTGAGAGACTGTCCAGGTCCATATTGCTTCTATTCTTTATGGTACACTGCCGGCAGTTTTACCATCTATATCCTCAATGGCATTGCTAGCACTCAAGATTATTTTGGAATGGTGGAGGTGATGTTATTCCATTCCAACAGAATAAGAATCAGAAAATCTAAAATCACAATATTGCATACTCTCTTATTGCAATTGAATAACTATTTTGTATTTTGTATGAGGCAATGTGGCTAATTGAGATCATCCAAAGGGAGACTAAATACCGAATTCATTTTTTGTAGGCACTTAAGAATGTATCCAGTGGGACTCTGTGCTCATTGCTAGAAGTGAGCTGATTAGAAAACTTAAAAGATTTGTTGGACCAGTGGATTCTCAAACATTCAAAGTTTAAGGAGCAGGAATATTGTGCCTGGAGGAGGGTCCGCAGTGTCACTTATGTTTGTTTATGTTAACAAATAATGGGAAATCCCAGCACATGGATCATTAAAAAACATTTACCACTGATTTAAATATACACAACTAATGCTTGACAATGTGAAAAAGAGGAGTCTTCCTCCAATGAATGGTGCCTTTCAAACAGTAAAATGTATGTGTGTGCATACATCGGTACATACAGACTTGAGCATACATTGTTTAGGGATTAAATCTCTGAATTCAAAATGGAAAAAAATACCTTTTAATGAGTAAGCATTGGATCTGTTTTTAAATTAAGTGTTTTTGAGAAATGAGCAATCACATGTACCATTGATCAGTGACTCATTTTCCTTTAACAGGAGCAGAAGTTTTTGTATTATTTTAAGCAACTGTTTCAGCTTACTACTGTGAACAAAACATTATTCTGGGAATACAACAGCTAAGGCTTTAGTAATCCCCCAAGGTCTAGGCAATTTCATTCCTACTAAAAGTAAAATGAATATTTTCACCTTTACTAAATCTCGTTACATTGTTTAATTCAACCCCCCCATTTTTCTTATCCTCTCTCAAAGGTTCAGTCACCACCTAAATGCCTGTATCACAGATGTGCACCTCTAGTTCACTGCTCTGCTTTGAGCTCCACACTCACATCCCCCTTTACATCTCCGCTTGCATACAGATAGTGCCCTAGGGTTAGGGAGTCAACCAAAGGATCTCAGTGAAGATCCTACCATCCATTCAATTTCATGACTCCTCCATCCCTTTATTCTCTGTAGCTAGTCCACCACTGAGTTGACTTTATTTATTTAATATTTTTTAAAATCCAGGTTCTTCTTTCTTTAGCCACTGTTCTAGTCTGGGTCAGCATAATCTCCTCCTTAAATGCTTCAACAGATTTCTCATTCATACCTTTCCTTCCCCTCGGACTCCTCTCCAATACTTTGTCTTTTTCTCAAAATATGAATGCATTCAGTTCACCCATTCATAGAAGATTATTTGATGACTTCTCATTTTTCTCAACAAAATCCAGAAGACTCAGTGTGGCCTCAGTGGCCACCTTGGCTGTGTGTACTTCTGCTGAGCTTAGAATTGTCACCTGACACCCTCATACAGTTAACTCCTGGATGTCTGTAGACCTGACCTTGACTGAAACTTCCACAGGAAAGTATCCCTTAGACATTACACTGTCATGGTACAGCAGAGTTTTCATTCCTGGCATTTTGTGCAACTTGCAGTTGTGCACTTATTTCTGTGATTATTGGTCACTGTCTGGCAGGATTGGAAGGACCACAAGGATGAGGACTGTGTCTGCTTTGCTCTCCCGTGTGTTCCTAGATGGAGAGGTGGAAGGCCTTTGGCTTGAAAGACAACTTAAACTGTTTGGAATTTGTCCTAAGGGTAACAGGATGCCTTTAACGGATTTTCAGCAGAGGAACGATGTGATCAGATGTCCACTGTGGGAGAATCACCTTTGATGAGGTGTAGAGACATCCAGGTTACATTCCTGAAACACAAAGTGAGACAGAGTCACAGCAACTACCAGTCGTCACTATTATTTTATCATTTCCTTTGGTCCCTCCTCTCTAAGTCCAATGACAAGGGTCACACATGAAACCTCTCAGACAAATGTTTGGCTGTCAGCTGTTTATTCATTTGAACAATATTGACTGGGTTCCTAAGTACATGCTTAATGCTAGGAATAAAAAAATGAGAAGTGGTCTAGGCTCAAACATGTGTCTCTAGGAGACACGTCCCACCCAAGTAGCAGAGAGTATCCAGAATATAATCCAGTGTGAAGGGTAGGGCAATGACAGTTTGAATGGAGTACTACAACTCAAAGCAGGTTATAACAAAAACAATTCTCTGGCAGTGCCAGAAAAGGCCTCCAAAAAGAAGTGGACTTTGAGCTGGTAGGAGGAATAAGGTTTCATCATGGAAAAGTAGGTGAGGGGTCATTCTCAGGGGCTGGGACAAAATGTACAAAGGTCCAGATCTGTAAAAGAGCGTGGATGTTCTGGAAGAACTTTATGCTTGGATGTACGGAGACAGGGTTGGGGAGGTGGCAGGACATGAGGAGAGGTCGGTTCAAGTTGTATTGTAAAGCGAATATTCATACTGCAAATTACAGTCTGCCTGTCGAGCTGAGGGGCCTCAAATGTCATTGGTCCCCTCTCAATGTCTCTGGTTTAAAAATAGAATGTGAGGAAATAACTTCAAATAGTTTATTAGCAAAACAATGACTAACCCAGTACGAGTAATAATCATCTGAAACCAAAATCAAAAGAATGATCCTGCCAGAGGTAAACTGGTTTTGTGCCTCTGAGGGATGAGAGAGCCAGGGTCCCAGTGAGCTGGCCCAGACTAGCAGTGAAATACAAAATAGTGAGCCTGGCCATGTCTTCATGCAAACTATACTCTGACAAGTGTCTGGATTTGTGTTTTGCAGCTCCATGGAAAATGGGAGACCACCTGATCCTGCAGACTGGGCCGTGATGGATGTAGTCAATTATTTCCGAACAGCAGGATTTGAGGAACAAGCTCGTGCTTTTCAGGAGCAGGTACCTCAGTCTGGAGAAACACGGCAAACACAATTGCCTCCCTTGTCACAGTGGGCAGAATGGGGTGAAGAGGAAGGAGACCAAAGAGCAGGGAGGGTTTAAGAAACTGAGAATGGTGAAGGAGAATGACAGATGAGTAGTTCCTTCCTCTACTATTGGCCTTGGCACTCATGGAACTATTTTAGCAATGTGCTTAGCAAGGTAGAGTGCAGGATTTAGAATGATACTCTGGTTTTTCTTTAGTGTGTGACCCACCGAGAGTTACTATAGCTCTCTCAGGCTTGGTTGCACATCTAACGTGAGGCTACCAATAACTAACTTTATAGGATGTTGTTATAAGAACTAAAGGACGAGATATAAAAATTGCCTGACAGGTCTGGGCACAGTGCCGATGCTCAAAAATGTGAATTCCTTTCCAGGAGATCCAGGGTTGGTATTGGAAAGAGGGAGAGGGGACAGGTGTTTCTCCTACTTGTCCAGTTGACTCACTACTCCATTCTGCTGGCTGAGTCAGCTCTACAGAGATGGTCTTCCAGGGTGTTTGACCATGAGAAGGCAAATTGGGGAGCACCTTGTAGCTCACCCAGGTCAGCTCTGTAGGGAAACACAGAGTTCCTATTTCTCTCTCAATGAATGCTGCAGTTTTCTAGGTATTAACTTCACTTGTCTAACATTATAATATGGTTGAGAGAACTTCAAATTGCAGAATGTATCTGGCTGCTTCTTCCATGTTCCCTTCAGCAGTAGTTATTTCTCAAGCAGTTGGTTGTATAGCCTGCATTTGGATAAAGTAATTTTTCTAATGCCACAAAGTTTAATCTTGTCAACCACCATTTCCTCATAACCGGAACTTTATACATATGTATTTTTTGCTAGTTTGGAAAATTTGCCAAAGTAGAAATTTAAATCACTTTACACCCACAAGAAGAACTAAAATTAGAAAGACTGATAGTGCCAAATGTTCCCAAGGATATGTAGCAACTAGAAATCTCCTACATTATTGGTAGGAGTATAAAATAAATACTCACATGTCTACCCCATGATCCAGCAAATTCAGTCCTGGGTATTTACCCAAAGGAAATGGAAACATATGTCTATAAAGAGATTTGTACAAAATTGTTCCTCACAGCTTTTTTATGGTAGTCAAAAATTAGAAGTCTGGATGTACATCAATAGGAAATGAATGTAAGAACTACGATATGTTTGTACAATGGGATAGTACCCAGGAATAAAAAGGAATGAATTCCTGATATATACAACAGATTAAATGAGTCTCACTAATGGACAGAAGTGTTATTCAATAAAAACAATGCTGAATGAATCTGTTTATATTAAGTTTCAGACCAGAACAATAACAACAAAAAAAATTAATGATTGCCTCTGTGTAAGTGTGAGTGGAGGATGATTAGGAAGAGATATGAGGGTACTTTCGGGGGTGTTGACAGTCTGAGGTTTTTTTGTTTTTGTTTTTGTTTTTTGGTACCAAGGGTTGAACTCTGTTCCTTGTACTTACAGGGCAGGCAGCAGAATCACTGAGCTAAATCCCTGGCCCCAGTAGTCTGTATCTTGATGAGGGTTTGGATTACAAGTCACTGCATTGGTTGTTTTATATACTGTGATATATACAATGACTCATACTTGCACATTACATAGTCTGTAAGCTTCATCTCGAAAGTAATTATAAAAATGTTAGAGAACAGCATGATGTGATGTATTTGAGGGCAAGTGCACTGATACATGAAACTTCCCTTTAAATGCATCCAAAGTGTAGATTAGATTATTAAATAGAGGTCTGACTGCATGGACAGGTGGATGAGAAAGTGAGTGCAGAAAATATTTATTGCACAATCTAGGTGGTAGGAATATATATGTTACTATAAAACTATGACAACTATTCTTTATGTCTGAAAATTTCTGTAATAAAACTGTAGTGGAAAATAACAGCTCAAGTTGGAAATTGGGACGGTATCAGCTGGAACATATTTTACTTTGGTTTTTAATAATATAATGTCCACTTGTATCATTGCAGTTGAGTAACTCTCTCTTAAAATTAAATTTAAATAATATTGTAAAAGGTTAACTAAAAAAAAAAAAAAGAATTAGCTAATAGGTCTCTTGGCCAGATTCCCAGATGCCCAGAAGCTTTTTCAGGTGGAGTTTTTGCCCAGACTCCCCTGAGGCAGACATCCTAAATTGGGGGAAAGTGTGCTCTCCTGGCCTTCCAGATTCTGAGTATGACCTCAGAGATGGGACTGTCCAGCTCTGAGCTTGGCCCAGGAGCAAGACCTTTCTCCCATGGGTGACATCACTCTGGCACTAGAGACACTGAGATGAAAAGAAGAACATTTCATTCAGAAATCCTTTAAAGGGGAAACAAACATCTCCTTCCTACAGTGATGTCTGCCAACTCAGGAGCTGCAAAATGAATTCCCAGAAGCCAGAAGCTTTGCAGTCCTGGCCCAGAGGCTCAAGTTCCTTCATTCTGATGGAACGGTAGCTGGTTGGGTGAAGTCTATTGTGATTATTCTCTGGAAATTGTCGAGGTCTGAAATTTCTAAGATGTCCGTTTCCTTTCCCCTTCTCAACAAACGAAATAGAGGGCAAGGTGGGAGCCACTGGTTAGGCTCAGGCTAGCAGGACAAGTCATTGCTGTGATTTTCATGAGAACTAAGAATTGTCCTGTTGCAGGCGCCCTCTCCCACAGTAAACTGCTTCTTCCTGGCAGTGATCTCAACTAGGTAGCTTTCCCTCGCCAAATGCATCCTCACAGGAAGACTGCAGACCATCTCCAGGATGAACTCATGGCCCTTCCAGGAACATTTCTAGATCATAGCCATGGAGATGCCATAAGAGTGACCAGCCACATCCTACAATCTTCTGAGGGAACATTCTGCCCTGCCACTTGATAGAAATAGGGCAGGGACAGAGATAATATGCAAAGAGCATATTCAGAAAGGGCTGCACAGTTGCCAGTGATGTGGGGAGATTATTGTTGCCTGACTGAGTATTACAAACTGAATGTTTGTGTTTCCCAGAAACTCATATTTTGAAAACCTCATCCACAGTGTGATGTTATTAGGAGGTAAGACTTTTGGGAGGTAATTAGGTTTAGATGAGGTCATGAGGTTGGAGTTTGTGGCCTTCTTAGAAGAGCCAGAAAGCTTGACGTCCACCCCCGCCACCAGGTGTGGATAAGTAAAAGGTAATTGGCCATCTGTAAGCCAGGAAGAGAGCCATTGGCAGAACAGCCATGCTGGTATCCTAACCTTAGGCTTCCAGTGTCTAGAACTGCAGGAAATGAATTTCTATTGTTTATGTCACCCAGTCTGTACTATCTTGTTAAAGCTGCCCACGCTAAGATACTGACACCGATGCCAAACATGTCCACCATGTTGGTGGATAACTGCTTCCTGTTCTCACAAGCAAGCTGACTTTGAGAGGAGAATCTGTTTTCATGTGGTGGTTTCATTGTACATTCCTGAGTACTCTCCTGTAGAAGCTATATGCAGATAACGTTTTTTAGTAGTATGACTATTTGGAAGATATTAGATCACTAAGTGAGATTCTTCTGAAGGATAGGAATGGTGTCTTCAGACCCTGGGGTATGAGGAGGCAGCTGGATTAAGCTGGTGAGTGACTCTTGCCTTACTTCCTTTTCCCTGCATGCCACCCTGTTGTCATGTAATGTGTACATCTATTAGATTTCCCCCTGGTATAATGATCTCCATCAAGTTTTTGGGAAAGCCTGATTGAACCTCATTCATGAGCCACAGTTATAGGCCATAAGAACTAACGGGAGGGAAGGCCTAAGCTCTTGCCCACCAACCACCAATGACCCAGTGTCAGTAATGTGTGTGTTTTAGGCTGTATTACTGTTTTGGCCAGACCCCCTTTATAACCAGTAATGTTGCTCTTCCTTGGGTTGGCACGTAGGCTATGTCATTAGAGCTGCAGCTGTGTATTTGGTGGGTACTCTGGCCCACTGAACTCACTAACAGTGCACTAAAATGTTCCCTGGGCCATGAGAGTAGGAAGCAGTGGGAACCCTTCCCCGAGAAGGCAGTGCTTATAGCACCATCAGCACCATCTGCTTCCCACAGACACTGGGGTGCAGTGGCTATTTTCCCAGGTATCTTCTACCACATGGATTATTGAGGCTTTAGTGAAGGGTGGGAGTTGGTGCCATGACTCTGGTTTATTTTCTCCTAGTTTCCTCGGGGTCACTGCATGATCCTAGGGACTTTGCCTCTCTACAATTCAGATTTCTATAAAGTGAATATTTAGCTCAACAAACAAAATATTTTTCAAGTTCCTATAGTAAGAGTCAAAGGTGTGATTCTGAAACTTGTCCTCATGAAGTATGCTTGCAGTGCCCAGTATAAAAACCACTTGAACCACAGAATTCTTTTGAGTAAGTGGTAAGAAATCGGCACTTGTTTATAGATATGGGATGCCTGGTTTTCAAAAGTCAAAGGTATCTCAGGAATTTCAGTTTCCTAAGAGCTTTGGTTTTTAAGAAAGACCATTTGACTTATTCAAAAACATCTCCACCTTCCTCAGAGAGAATATTTATGATAAGGTTTACTTTGTCAAACTCAGAAGACTAAATTTGACAAAGTAAATCTCTATTGCCATCTATATGAACAATGCTTTTAGATGCCAGTTAAAATACCGTGGCTTTCCAGTATAAATGAGAGCACTCAAATTGGGTCCGAGTCACAAGGACAATTCTCCCTGCTGTAGGGTAGTCACTTGATTTCTATGTCTTCTTCTGTCTTACTCACATAGTCAGAATATGTACGAAGAAGACAGAAGATAGAGAGCTGCCATTCAACCACTGTCATTCAGATTGTTCCAGTGTCTTGTACCTATGAGTGAGTGACATCAGTGATTTTATCTCTAGAATAACATGTATCTCTGAGGTCATTTTTTTCCTCTGAGTATCATGACAAAATAATACACAGGCCAAGGTAACAAATTAATTTTACTCTGTTACCTCC